ACTCTAACCTCCTTGGCTAAATTTATTTCTAGGTATTTTATTCTTTTGGATACCATTTTGTTTTGTTTTGGTTTTTTTTTTTTTGATTGATTGATTTTACAGATTAAAGAAGAGAGAGGGAGAGAGAGTTGTTGTTCCACTATTTATACACTCATTGGTTGATTCTTGTATGTGCCCTGACCAGGGATTGAACCCACAACCTTGGCATATCTAGATAATGCTTTACCAACTGAGCTACCTTGCCAGGGCTATTCAGAATTGTTTTTTAATTCCTTTTTTAGATTGTTCATTGTTAGTGTATAAAAACACAACTGGTTTTTTGTGTATTGATTTTTATCTTGAATATTTGATAAATTAACCTGTTAGGTAGGTGTTTTTGTTTTGTTTTGTTTTGTTTTTTTGTACATTCTTTAGGATTTATTCTATAGGATCATGTCTTCAGTGAATAGAGATGGTTTTACTTTTCTCTTTCCAATTTGCATGTCTAGTTCTTTTTGTTGCCTAATTGCTCTGGCTAGAACTTCCTGTACAATTTCCAATAGCAGTTGTAAATGCAGATATACATATATTACTTTTTATTTTATTGGGAGACATTTCATTTTCACCATTGAGTATGATGTTAGGTGAATATTTTAGTTTCTTTGAGTAAATACCCAGAAGTGGGATTGCTGGGTCATAAGGTAGTTCTATTTATAATTTTTTGAGGAACCTCCACACTGTTTTCCATAGTGGCTGCACCAGTTTGCAGTCCACCAACAGTACACAGGGGTTTCCCTTTCTCCACATCCTCACCAGCATTGTTTGTTGATTTATTTATTTTGTCTGTTTCTTTGTTTTGGTTTTTTGTTTGTTGATTTATTGATAGCATTCTGACAGGTGTCAGGTGATATTTCATTGTGGTTTTAATTTGCATTTCTCTGATGATTAGTAATATTGAGCATCTTTTCATATATCTATTTGCATGTCCTCGTTAGAGAAACATCTGGTCAAGTGCTCTGCCTATTTCAATTAGATTATTTATTATTTTGGTATGAAGTTGTAAGAGTTTCTTATATATTTTGAATATTTATTCCTTGTCTGATGCATCACTGGTGAATATCTTCTCCCATTGAGAAGATACCTTTTCATTTTGTTGATAGTTTTCTTTACTGTGCAAAACTGTCTTAGTTTATTTTTTGTTTCCTTTGCCCAAGGAGACAAGTCCAAAAAAATACTACTACAAACAATGTCAGAGAGTTTACTGTCTATGGTTTTCCCCAGAGCTTTATGGTTTCAGATTTTACATAAAGCTGGATTGTAAAACGTGATGTATCACATTAGTTGATTTGCAGATATTGAACTAGACATACAAATTGGAAAGAAAAAAAGTAAAACCATCTTTATTCATAGAAGACGTGATCCCATATAATAAATCTTAAAGAATGTACAAATTTAATCCATTTTGTGTTTACTCTTGTGTTCAGTGTAAGAAAATATTCCTAAGTCGGAATTCTGATAAACAGGACAGGCAGGCTCCACACCTTCCCTTTCCTCAGAAGGTCCTCCTTAAAACTTTCCCACCACGTCTTTTGTGCTCCCCAACAAACTGTGTAATAAAAATCATGTGGCTATTAAATTGGGGGCTAGTCTAAAAATATATATTTAACGTCCTGCTCTGGGATTAGAACTGTGGGGAGCACACAGCAGGCACCAGTCCTGGGCTTCTAATTCAATTGAATCTTGGCCATTGAAATAGCTAGAGCTGAAATCATGGGCTTACCAGTAAAGGTCATTGAGGGTTATGGGTTTGTTTTTGTTTGTTTGTTTGTTTGGTTGGTTGGTTGGTTGGTTGTCTGAGCAGTCCCATACCCCCAGTGCTGTGTGGCCTTGGAGGAGTAGCCACACCTCTCTGGCTCAGTTGTCTCATCTGCATGATCATTTGCTACTGCGTGGGGCTGAATTAATTGTGATAGATTTCGGGCCTTGGCCCCTGTGCCACCCACTTTCCATCCTCTCTCCACCTCTTTGGTCACCCCTCCCAGCTGCCTCTCTTTGTTCAAACTCCTGGCTGAGATGTAGGGACGCCTGGGGCTCCATCCTCACCCTCTGTCCACACCCTCTGTAGAGGTGCGCTGATTCATCCCAAGACTAAATCCCACACACTCACTGCTGCTACTTCCGCTTCCTTTCCCTCCCTGGCCTCTTCCCTCAGTTCCAGGCTCATAACTCCAACCATAGTCTTAACACAGCCCTTCAAATCTCCAGTAAGATTCTAGGCTTTCCTGTGTCCAAAACAAAACTCTCGGTTTCTGCTCTCCATGGTTCTGCCCTGTCCGGGCCTGGTCCCCACATTCTCAGGGATGCTGCCCTTTCTGCCAGGTGCTGAACTACAGTGCCTTCTCCTCCCTCACCTCATAGCTACTTCTTCCCATGCCGGGAATCCACCTACTTCTCTTCATTTTACTCCCAGCACACTGGCCAGACCCTCTCCACCTCTTCTTGCGCCATTGTGAAGGATTCTGCCCCTGCTTGCTCCATCTTCACTCAGGAGCCACCGGGATGCTCTGATCCTGGGAGTTGGGAATGTGCTTTGTGGCTCTGCCTGAGAAGTCCTGACCAGAGAACAGCTATAAACCACTGTGCAAGCCCAGCTGCTGACCCATATACCCCAAACACCAGGCTTGTACAGTTAAATGCCCCATCCTTCCAACCTTTAAAATATGTAAAGCCACACCTGATCTGGGCCTCCGGGAGAGGAGCCAGGACAGCACTGGAAACAGATATGTGTGTGTTGGGGGAAGAGAGAAGGGTGGCATGGCTTTGGCTTGTTCCCACTGCCAGCTTTGACCAAATTCCTGTGGCCGCCCTAATCCATTGTCTAATGGAGCCCGAGCCAGCTCAGGGCCTGCAGGACAAGCCTGTTAATCTCTGGAGCTGAGAGCTCACCACCTGTCTCCAGGATGCCCTGCAGTCGGCCTCAGAGAGCCAGATCTGGGACCTCAGACAGAGGTGATGGTACTAGTATCCTTCCACCAAGCCCCCTCACCTTTGGCCCTCGATGATGAGATGGGGAAATTCAAGTTCACATGGTGCGCGGTGCTGCTCAGAGCCAGGAAGGCTTTATGAGTGACAGAACAACTCCCCACAGCGCCCTGATCAGCTGCAGAAGGTGGAGTGTGAGCAGCAGGGCAAGCTGGCCTGTCCCCTTCTCCCAACAGAGGCTTGCAGGCCGATGGCTTCACACTAATCTGGGTGCAGATCCTGCTGCTGCCTCCCCCCAGCCATGTGACCTTGTGCAAGTCACTTAACTTTTTTAGGTCTCTATTTTCTCATCTGCAAAAGAGGGCTGATGGTAAAACAAGTCTCTTCTTTGCAAGGTTGTTGAGGGTACGTTAAGCAGAGTCCCTGCTAATATAAAAGGTTGGCTTGGACCCAGCTGGTGTGGCTCAGTGATTGAGCATCAACCTATGAACCAGATTCCAGGTCAGGGCACATGTCTGGGTTGTGAGATCCACCCCTGGTAGGGGGTGTGCAGGTAGCAGCCACTCAATGATTCTCTATTCATTGATGCTTCTATATCCCTCTCCCTTCCTCTCTGTGAAATCAATAGAAACATAATTTTAAAATGTTAAAGGTTGGCTTGCTCATGGTTCCTTCCTGCCCAGCCCTGTTCTCCCTCCCTCTGGGCAGGTCAGCTCAGCTCACAGCCTGCGGTTTACTGCAGGGTTTTGCAAGGAGAGAGTTGGGGAGTACCTTAGGCAGCTGGAGTCAAAAGACTGGTGGCCAGGAAAGAAAGGCAGAAAGAGACAGAAAAAGGACGAGACAGAGAGAGACAAGGAAACAGAGAAAGAAAAATTGGCACAGAGAGACAGAAAGGGAAAAGAAAAGGGGAGAGACAGCAAGGTGGAGACAGAAATAGAGAAGCAAAGAGACCAAGAGACAGAGGACAGTGTGTGTGTGTGTGTGTGTGTGTGTGTGTCTGTGTGTGTGTCTGTGTGTGTGTCTGTGTGTGTGTGTGTCTGTGTGTGTGTGTCTGTGTGTGTGTGTCTGTGTGTGTGTGTGTCTGTGTGTGTGTGTCTGTGTGTGTGTCTGTGTGTGTGTCTGTGTGTGTGTCTGTGTGTGTGTGTCTGTGTGTGTGTGTCTATGTGTGTGTCTGTGTGTGTGTGTCTGTGTGTGTGTGTCTGTGTGTGTGTGTCTGTGTGTGTGTGTCTGTGTGTGTGTCTGTGTGTGTGTCTGTGTGTGTGTGTGTCTGTGTGTGTGTCTGTGTGTGTGTGTGTCTGTGTGTGTGTGTGTGTCTGTGTGTGTGTGTCTGTGTGTGTGTCTGTGTGTGTGTGTGTCTGTGTGTGTGTGTGTGTGTGTGTGTGTGTGTGACACAGCCTGAGAGAAAGACAGTCAGAGAGAGTCAGATGGACAACACACATCCAAAGACAGGAAAGAAACTGCCCGGGGAGTAAGTAGGAGAGGGAGGGAAAGAAGATGGGGAGAGATCCAGTTCTTCACACATCCCTGCTCAGGACCGGTCTCCGCCCTCGGAGCAGCCTCTCATCCCTTCCCCACAATCCTCAAGTTCTCTCTCTCTCTCGCTCTCTCTCTCTCTCTCTCTCTCTCTCTCTCCCCCTCCCTCCCTCCCTCTCTCTCCCCCCTCTCCCCATGTCTGTCACAGCTGCGTCCTGACCTGGCAGGTGCTGGCACAGGTGAGTATGAGAGGCCAAGGGACGGGTTTGCACGCTGGAGATAATGGTCCAGCAGGGGGCCGTGCGATAAGGTTCAGAGGGTGTTGAGAGCAGCGGGGCGGGATGGAGGGAGGGAAGGAGGGGGGGGGGGGGCGGGGAAGCTAGGACATTGCCGGGTTGATACCCCACCTCTTCTCTGATAGGCTCGGGCAACTTTCATTGCGCGCCTCCCTCCCCCTAGCTCCCGGGGCTCCCTTATCCCCAGTTGTTCCCGGCCAGGCAGGCACTCGGAGCATCCTTCCTTTCCGTTCTCCCCGTCCGTCCGGGCTCCTCCGGCAGCCTGGAGCGATGGCCGGGCCCCGGGGCGCCCCGGAGCCGCCGCCGCGGGCGCTGCTGCCGCCCCTCCTGGCGCTGGCGCTGGCGCTGGCGGGCGGCGCGGCGGCGGCGGGCTCGGTGCGCCTGGCGGGCGGCCTCACGCTGGGCGGCCTGTTCCCGGTGCACGCGCGCGGCGCGGCGGGCAGGGCGTGCGGGCCGCTGAAGAAGGAGCAGGGCGTCCACCGGCTGGAGGCCATGCTGTACGCGCTGGACCGCATCAACGCCGACCCCGCGCTGCTGCCCGGCGTGCGGCTGGGGGCGCGGCTGCTGGACACCTGCTCCCGGGACACGTACGCGCTGGAGCAGGCGCTGAGCTTCCTGCAGGCGCTGATCCGCGGCCGCGGCGACGGCGAGGCGGCCGTGCGCTGCCCCGGCGGCGCCCCCCCGCTGCGCGCCGCGCCCCCCGAGCGCGTGGTGGCCGTCGTGGGCGCCTCGGCCAGCTCCGTCTCCATCATGGTGGCCAACGTGCTGCGTCTGTTCGCGGTGAGGGCCGCCGGCCGCGCGGGGCGTCCCGCCCTTTGCCCTTGGGGTGGCGCAGGTGCAGGCTCCTTGCAGGAGTCACTCCAGCTCACCAAGGAGGCCTATGGGCCCCCGGACCCCGCCCGCGCCTGGTCCCCGCGCTGCAGTCTCCCCTGTCTGCTCGGGCGCCCCCCAGCGGCTGCCGCCCGCACACAGCGCGCCGTGGGAAGAAGGAAACCAGCCCCCCTAGCTGGCCGCGGGGCGCCCTGGACTTTAGACCCCCCTTGGCCGCTTGTGTCCTAGTTTGGGGCACACGCCGCGCAACCGTGCAAGGAGGTCCTGACCCTGGACCCTAGTGGAGAGCTCTGGGTGACAAGGAGCAAGGTTTTCCCGGATTTAGGGCCCACGTAACGGCGGGGCAAGCCGCGCAAATCCCTGGCTGCTCTGGGGGTGGGTAGATCTGTAAAGACCTGTACCTCCATCCTCTTTTCTGATCATCACTTCAATTCCATTTCAAAATGCCTGAGAGAGGCGCCAGAGGAGTCTGCAGTGGCCTGGCCTGTAGGAGAGGCTGGGGCAGGCCCTGCCTTGCCTCATCTCTTGCTGCCTTCCGAGAGAGGCAGCACCTTGGTTGCAGTTTGAGGGGCAGTGACTGGGGGAGCCATAGGAATCAGGGATTTGAGGAGAGGGGGAGTAGCTTTGCCTTAGAGTTGGTTATTTCTGTACACTCACTTGGGGTGGGGCTTCTGGGACAGTTTTACTGGGGTTCCATGAGGGGGTTATCTCTGACCTTTTATCTTTCTGAAAAGAGAGAAAGGCTTTGCTTCCTTCTGGATAGGCAGGGGACCTCTGGTTCTTGAGTTTCTCTGATGCTCCATGACACTAGGGAGGTTTTCTCGGGGCCCCTTCCATCATCAGCACCCACTTACTCCCTCCCACCCCAGTCTCTGCTGGATGGCAATGTTGGTGCAGAGCATACAGATGCACCTTCTACGTGGCACCAAGAGAGGTGTGTGTGTGTGTGTGTGTGTGTGTGTGTGTGTGTGTGTGTTGGGGTAGGGTGTCTTTGTCTCACCAGTCCGTGTCTGTTCACATCTGTGGGCTCCGTCTCCTTCCCTGCCTGCAGCCCTGGTTTCTGTCTGTCTCCTTCTATGTCAGGTGCAGCACCTCAAACTCAAGGGCCTTCAGGGTCCGAGTGAGGACTGTAGCTGAGTGAGCAAGGCCCTGAGAGCCTGGGGCCCAATGCTGCCAGCTCATCCCAGAACTGAGGTGGCGCTGAAACCCAGATTTTGGACACTAGCCCCGAATCAAACGTCCCTCAGCAGCTCTCTTGTCTGTTCTGACCCTCCTGGGGCTGCCCCCACCCACACAGACCACCCCTTTGTGTGAAGTAGGAAAGCTTGTCTCTCTGGGACTGACGAGGATGTCCTTCCCCAGGGCAGACACAGCCTGTGCCTAGAGACAAGATTGGCTGCAGGCTGGGCTTGGGCGCCCACCGCTGCTTTGCTCAGACACACCCTGCACAACCGGAGGGTGGCCCTGCCCACGCCCCATGCCCTCACACCTCCCCTGTTTCACCGGACCTAGTCACAGGATGCAGGTCTTTCCCCACACCTTCTGCCACTCCCCTGGTTCTCAGCTCCTACCCTAAACCTTCTGTGCCCCCGCCTGCATCCTGAGTCCCCATTGCCCTCCCTTCCTAGGGTCACTGAACCGCTAGCCACAGCCTGGGTGTGCTTCCCCCTCCAGATTCCCCAGATCAGCTACGCCTCCACGGCCCCGGAGCTCAGCGACTCCACCCGCTACGACTTCTTCTCCCGGGTGGTGCCCCCCGATTCCTACCAGGCCCAGGCCATGGTGGACATCGTGCGGGCATTCGGATGGAACTACGTATCCACGCTGGCCTCCGAGGGCAACTATGGCGAGAGCGGGGTGGAGGCCTTTGTGCAGATCTCCCGAGAGGCGGGTGAGTTGGGACAAGCGGATCAGAGGCACCAAGGAACCTACAGAGGGGAGAACCAGGGGCTATGAAATAGGGGCACTGGTGCCACAGTGGGGAGCCTGGATGTGTCTTCTATCAGCGCCCCTTTCCTTTGGAGGACTCGGTCCTGCCTCGTGGCCTGGCAGGTGGGGCCTAGGCTAAGCTTCACCCTGCAGACCCCTGGCCCAGAATGATCACACTGCACAGTCATGAACTCCGACAGCCCCAATGGGTGGTGGGATGGATGAACGCTGACTTTGGCATCCTGGACACTCAGGGGGAGTCTGTATTGCCCAGTCCATCAAGATTCCCAGAGAACCAAAGCCAGGAGAATTCAACAAGGTTATCAGACGACTCATGGAGACGCCCAACGCTCGGGGCATCATCATCTTTGCCAACGAGGATGACATCAGGTGGGATGGATGGAACCTCTGTCGGATGCCCTCCTTGAAAGGCCTGCCTTGTCTTCTCACTCATCCCCACTGCACACCCTCCCTTCCTCCCTTTCCTTCCTTCTTGCACCTCCTATCCTTTCCACCACCACCACCACCACACACACACACACACACACTTTTCCTGCTGCATTCTCTGCCTGGTCTGCTCTGAGTGGAGATGCTCTAAGACCAGCCAAGAAAACACACAAGAACACATGCCTGTTTGTATAATTCATAGTGGGGAGACCTGTGGGCAGATCTAAGAGCAGAAAATGAGCAAAAGAACGGAGCCCTGGGGCAGAGCCAGCGGGAGGCTCTGTAAGAGAAGGGAGGCCCTGCTTCCAGGCAGTGTGAAGTGGGTCGTGGTGCATGGAGCAAGAGGGCAAGCCCAGGCCAGAGCCTGGCTGGACCCCTTACCACCTCAGAAGCCCAGGACAAGTGTTCTAAACTCCCTATACTCCATTTTCCCTGACCAATGACGGTCTGATGAAAGCATTTCATCACAAGACTTCAGGTTTGGGGCAGTGAGTCCAGGATAGATGTGGAATGGGATAGATGGAGAGAGAAGAAGGAGAATTGACTAGGAGTAAGGTGAAGGAAGATCTCGGGACTTTATTCACCCTTAGCCTTGTCTGTACCAGGAGGGTCCTCGAGGCAGCCCGCCAGGCCAACCTGACTGGCCACTTCCTGTGGGTTGGCTCCGACAGCTGGGGGGCCAAGATCTCACCCGTCCTGAACCTGGAGGACGTGGCCGTGGGGGCCATCACCATCCTGCCCAAGAGAGCTTCCATTGATGGTGAGTGTAGGGATGACCTGCTCCTCTTGGTCCCCTGCCCCCATCCCATCCTTTCCCACCATCCCTCTTGGGGCCCATTGGTAAAATTATACTGTGATCCAGGTCCCTGCTAAGATTCCCAAGTTCAATGATTCTGAGATTCTGTCAGTACGTCCCTCCGAGCAGTGTTTGAATGAGCTGGCTAATGAGGAAAAGCACACCCACCACATAGGGTAAAAAAAAAAAAATTGTTTTTAGTTTGTGTTTTTTGTTTTGTTTATTTTTTATTTTTTTTTAATATATTTTATTGATTTTGTACGGAGAGGAAGGGAGAGAGAGAGAGAGTTGGAAACATCGATGAGAGAGAGTCATCGATCAGCTGCCTCTTGCACACCCCCTGCTGGGGATATGCCCGCAACCAAGGTACATGCCCTTGACCGGAATCGAACTCGGGACCCTTCAGTCCCCAAGCCGACGCTCTATCCATTGAGCCAAACCAGTCCTGGCTGTTTTGTTTATTTTTTAATTCAACACCTGTATTCCTCTTTCTGTCGAAGGCATTATGATTTTAGGGTGAGGGTAGGAGGGAGAGAAACCAAGGAGATGGGACTTACTGTCCTGCTGCTCAAAGGAATGAGGCCACCCCTTCCTTTTCCCTCCCCACTACCCCATCTGTGAACATCTGGAAGAGTCCAGCAGGGATGTCCTCTTTACAACAGGCTTGCTTCTTTTTCCCAAAGGCTGAATGAACTGCAGATAGCTTGAGGAGGGACTTCAGGGCTATTTATAAAGTGTGGATCCTCATAGCACCGAGCCCTGCCTCCCACACTAATTCCTCTTGGGGGTATACACCCACCCTCTCAACCTTCCCCCAGGCCCCTTTCAGACTGCATTCACTTGTAAGTGGCAAACTAGACTGAGAGTAGTCTCGGCAATGAAAGCATTTCATCACAAGACTTCAGGTTTGGGGCAGTGAGTCCAGGATGTTCTCAAAGCCCCGCGCTCTGTCCTCCCTCCTGTTTCACCGCCCACCCGCGGTGATTGCTGAGTCTTCATGCTTGTGGCATCATATTACAAAATGGCTGCTGAAGCTCCCCCCACTACATGTTCACAGAAGCATCCTCACCGGGAAAGAATGTGCAGCATTCATGGAGTGAGGCTCAGGCTTACATCAGGATGCAAACTTTACCCTGGAGTCCCAGATGTCTTTGAACTCACGGGCCAGAAGTTGGTTCAATGGCCATTTCTGGCTGCAAAGTGAGCAGTTGGTGGAGGGACACAGGAGGACTGTGGCTGGCTATGATTACCAGCCTTCTCCCCTCCCTCTCAGGATTTGACCAGTACTTCATGACACGCTCCCTGGAGAACAACCGCCGGAACATCTGGTTTGCAGAGTTCTGGGAGGAGAATTTTAACTGCAAACTGACCAGCCCGGGTACCCAGTCAGACAAAGCCGCCCGCAAATGCACAGGTGAGAGCTGCAAAGGGTGGCGAGAAAAGTGACGGGAAAGGGGGGGGGGGGGAGGCAGGTTAGGTGTCTGGGGGCCAGGCGCATTTCCTCTGGGCATCCCTAGGACAGGTGAGGAACGCATCGGCCGGGACTCCACCTATGAACAGGAGGGGAAGGTGCAGTTTGTGATCGACGCGGTGTACGCCATTGCCCATGCCCTGCACAGCATGCACCAGGCACTCTGTCCTGGGCATATAGGCCTGTGCCCAGCAATGGAGCCCACCGACGGGCGGACACTGCTGCAGTATATCCGGGCAGTCCGCTTCAATGGTGAGTGGATGCCAGAAGTCCTATGTGAGAGAGGAAAAGTACCCTGAGATGGATTTCTCTCTGGGACCCGGATGAGTGGGGAGCAAAGGGATGGGAGAGGCAGCATTGTATTGGGAGCACCTGCATCTGGGAGCTGGGGACCTGAGCCACGTTCTGAGGACCCCTTTTAACACTCCTCCTTTCTCAGGCTTCAGCACCCCCTCTCCCCACTTGAAAAATGCAGGCGTTGGGGGATTTCCCTGTGACTCCTCCTGCCTGAAACCCTCAGCAGGTCACACACAACTCTCCCCTCCACTGCACCGAGCTTGAAGGCATCTATCTGGTGGCTCAGGGCACAGAGCATACAGTGAAGAGGCACTTCCTATGACACGGACATGCTGCTCACTGTGAGTCTCGAGCTTCCAAACGCTGCCCCAGCGAGCTCCTGCTCTGCCCGAGCACCGGGCACCCGTCTGATGTGTCTCCTTGTGCCAGCAGAGGGCCTGGCGCATGGTCGGGGCTCTGAAAAGGCCCAGTGGATTTGGCTGTGCTTATGGATTGTGGGGAAAGATACAATTCTTGTACAACTGTCCTTTAGAAAATCAAAACTATTCGTCCACCAAATATTGAGCGCCTTCTCTTTGCCACGCTCTCTGCTAACTAGCACAGCTGAATCTCACTCCAGACCAACTTTACAAGCTGGCAGAACAAGCTTCTAAAGGAAATAAAACTGACCAAACTAGTACAAATTTCATGTCAACACGCAGGCCTTTATTCGAGTCTGAACTTTTCCTTTCACCTGAACAGTTAAGATTTCCATTTCCTTTTATATTAATAATTGCGGTACCATACATAGAGCTTCCTATAGTATATTACCATCTTAACCACTCGTAAGTGTACAGTATAGTCACGTACACTGTTACGCAACAAATCTCTAAAACTCTTTTCATTTTGCACAGCTGAAACTGTGACCACCATTCTACTTTCTGTCTCTTTTCATTTGACTGTTCTGAGTAGTACCTCATATGGGAGGGATCCTGCAGGATGTGTCTTTTTGTGACGGGCTTATTTCACTTAGCGCAATGTCCTCAAGATTCATTCATGCTGTACATGTGTCTGAATGTCCTTCCTTTGTTAAGGTTGGCTGATAACCCACCATATGAATAAACACTTTTCGTTTATCCATTAAACCCCCAGTGACATGTGGTCGTGTCCACCTTTGGGCTGTTGTGAATGATGCTGCCATGAACATGAGTGTTCAAGCATCTCTTCGAGTTCCTGTGCTTAGCTCCTTTGTGCTTATGCCTAGAAGCGGAATTGCTGGATCACGTGGTAATTCCTCCAAACTGTCTGAGATCCACAGTACTATTTTCCACCCTACTGCTCAAGGTTCCTACCAGCAACGCATAAGGTTCCAGCTTCTCTGTGTCCTGGCCACTCCTTGGTATTTTGTGATGTTTGGGCAGGAGGTGGTGTCTCACTGTGGTTTTGATTGGCATTTCCCTGCCGTTGAGCACCTTTGTGTGTGCTTGTTGAGTGCTTCCTGTATCCTGGCCGGGCCTTGGGCCTCTCCAGGCGGCTGGGCTGGGATGGGCTGGAGAGCCACTGAGGATGGATGCCAGGCTCTCCCTCCAGGCAGCGCAGGAACCCCCGTGATGTTCAATGAGAACGGGGATGCGCCGGGGAGATACGACATCTTCCAGTACCAGGCGTCCAACGGCAGCGCGGGCAGCGGCGGCTACCAGACGGTGGGCCAGTGGGCGGAGACGCTCCGGCTGGACGTGAGTGGCCGGGAGCAAGAGGTGTTGGGGACACGGGAGCTGGGGGTGTGAGTGGCACGGGAGCTGGGGGAGTGGGTGGCACGTGATCTCGGGTGTGGGAGGCGGGCCAGCCAGCCGCCGCGGCCGCGGAGGCCGCCCACCTGTGTCCCCTGTTGCAGGTGGGCGCCCTGCAGTGGTCAGGGGACCCCTGGGAGGTGCCGGCCTCTCAGTGCAGCCTCCCCTGCCAGCCTGGGGAGCGGAAGAAGATGGTGAAGGGCGTGCCCTGCTGCTGGCACTGCGAGGCCTGCGACGGGTACCGCTTCCAGGCGGACGAGTTCACCTGCGAGGTGTGCCCCGGGCACCTGCGGCCCCTGCGCAACCGCACGGGCTGCCGCCCCACGCCCGTGGTGCGCCTCTCCTGGGCCTCGCCCTGGGCCGCCGCGCCGCTGCTGCTGGCCGTGCTGGGCATCACGGCCACCACCGCCGTCGTGGCCACCTTCGTGAGGCACAACGACACGCCCATCGTGCGCGCCTCGGGCCGCGAGCTCAGCTACGTGCTGCTCAGCGGCATCTTCCTGGTCTACGCCATCACCTTCCTCATGGTGGCCGAGCCAGGGGCGGCCGTGTGCGCCGCGCGCAGGCTCTTCCTCGGCCTGGGCACCACCCTCAGCTACTCGGCCCTCTTCACCAAGACCAACCGCATCTACCGCATCTTCGAGCGGGGGAAGCGCTCCGTCACGCCCCCGCCCTTCATCAGCCCCACCTCGCAGCTGGTCATCACCTTCGGCCTCACCTCCGTGCAGGTGCGTCCCCGGGCTCCGGAGGGGGAGGCGCTGACCCTCCTCAGAGACTCGCTCTTCCGTTTTGAAAAGCATGTAGCCTTGGGAGAGAGGGCCCTGCCTTCCTCCTATGAGGACAAGAGGTTAAGAGCAGCCATCTGCATAACACCTGCATAACTTACTTCAAAGTCATGTCTCTTGTCATTGAGGAAACTGAGGCTCCATCTCCTTGTTGTTAGGACCTGTGTCTTACTCCGATAACCTCCCAGCTGCCCAGCATCAACTCCTGACATCCTTACAATTCTCCATGAAGGGCTTCTTCAATTTAGGCTGCATTGTGCATTCACACATTATTTCACTACATCCTGTTCAGTAGTTCTCTGGATCTGGAGAAGGAAGGGGGTCCTCAGAACTAGGTTTGCCATGCTGCTATATAGGAATGAGCTAGTGTTTCCCAGGTACAGAGTGAAGGGGGTACTGCCTATTGGGTGGTTGTGAGGAGAGAACATCTCTGCTCGGCCTGGCCCTTAACCAGTGGTACATACACCATCCCCGCTCCAAGCTGGCATCATGTCCTTCAAACAGATTATGATGATTCCCATTCTATAGATAGAGAAGACACTTAGGATCAAAGTTCCACAGATTCTGTCTGCAGTCACTGCATCTTGCAGGGCTCGGAAAATGACATTGCTAATGGCTGGAATACAGGAAGAGTATGTCTGGGAGCCCCTTACCAGACCAGCCCTGACATTGTTAGCACATACCTCCACGGCAGCCCCTTCTCTCTGCTGGGCCATGTCCCAGGCCTGAGTATTCCCTTCCTGGAAGGTCTTCTCTCCATAGTGGTTCTCTCAGATCCAAGCATCCCCTTCTGTAGGTCAGGAGCCTCCAGACCTCAGTCGGTGGCCAGCTTAGTGCGTCCTGATAAGAGTTGTCTTCTGTAGGTGGTGGGAGTGATAGCATGGCTAGGGGCCCAGCCCCCACACAGCGTGATCGACTATGAGGAGCAGCGGACGGTGGACCCAGAGCAAGCCAGAGGGGTGCTCAAGTGCGACATGTCAGATCTGTCTCTCATCGGCTGCCTGGGCTACAGCCTCCTACTCATGGTCACATGCACAGTGTACGCCATCAAGGCCCGCGGAGTGCCTGAGACCTTCAACGAGGCCAAGCCCATCGGCTTCACCATGTACACCACCTGCATCATCTGGCTGGCTTTTGTGCCTATCTTCTTTGGCACTGCCCAGTCCGCGGAAAAGGTAATTTGGGGTCTCCTATTGGTTTCACTGTCTCATGTGTTTCCTGCCTTCTGTCACCAAAGGAAGGGCTCAATTGTCCCAACAGCTGGGTTACACATAGGAATGATTGCTTGGTTGGTTGATTTATTTCTGTACTTAAATATGTGTTCATTTGCTTATCTTTCCAGTGGCTCCCTGCTTGTTCATTCAGCCATTCATTCAGCCACACTTCTAATCATTGATTAACCTTTCATTCAATTATTACTTTATATACTTTCTATTTACTGATCCATTGATCTATTGATCCATTTGTTTGATCATTATTCACTCATCCATTCATTTGTAGAGTAGAACATTTGTTTATTCATCTATATGTTTGCTCACCTTTACCTTTATTCAATCTCAGTTTGTTTGTTCATTTGTACTTCTGAAAACATGTCCATTCATTCATTAATATCTTCTAGACCTTTTTAGGCATATGGACCATTTCCCCAGGTGTCACTCACTGTGAATAAAACTGTCTTCCCTCAGACACTGGTCCCCTTAGTGCCATGTCACTCACCCTCCATCCTGCCTACACTGGAGCCACACTGTGACTATTCCTTCTTCCTTCCCCGGGGCCTTTGCTTATGCAGTTGTCCTTTTCTAAGTGCTCATTCCATGGCTATGTGGAGGTGGGGATAAGAGAAAACAGGGCTGCGTCCCACCTGGTCCTTTTTCCATGGCTCAGATCTACATTCAAACCACCACACTGACTGTGTCCCTGAGCCTGAGCGCATCGGTGTCCCTCGGCATGCTCTATGTACCCAAAACCTACGTCATCTTGTTCCACCCGGAGCAGAACGTACAGAAGCGGAAACGGAGCCTCAAAGCAACCTCCACAGTGACAGCCCCACCCAAGGGTGAGGACACAGAGGCCCCCAAGTAGTGAGAGGCCTTCTTTTCTTTCCCTTGCTTCACAGTGGGACCTGTGCAGAGTCCAGGCATGCAGAGAATCAGAGAAGAGGTCCACGAAGGCCATGCCTAGCAGGACCTATCTTGAGGCTGGCCTCCAGAAAGACCTGCCCACATGCCCCTTTATTCCTTTTTTTTTTTTTTTTCCTGTGCATGTTGGCCTATTTCCTCACTGCAGACTAGACTCTCTACCCATGGTGGGAAATGGCCATGGTAAGGCTTCTTCTTCTAGAGAGGGACTCAACTTACACTCTCTGGTTTGAAGTTGAGAGGTCACAATGATTTCCTGGGCTTGGCCATTGTGAGTGATATTTCCACTCCTTCTTCAACCACTAGGACATAGGGACTGGGCCCTGTGTGAGAATGTGCAGGCCCCAGAGTGAAATACTGGGCTGGAGTTGGGGAGGAACAGTTTCCACAAAAGCAAATCTGTGGGTCTGTATACTAGACTGAGCAACCTGGGCTTGGCACAGAGGGATGGAGCCTTGGGTGAGACCCCTGCAGAGAGGGGGCGGGGGGTGAGCAGAGGGACCAGGTGCACCCCACAAAGTTACTTGTGTGAGGGCATTTTCCTTGGACTCTTGTCCCCTGGGGTCTGAGGGGTGTTACACTCAGAGTAGAGTGTTTTTTTTCCTTTTCCATCTGTACTCCCTTCGATGACCTCTATTAGATGCACTGTGTGGTGTGAGTGTTGTGAGAATAAACTAACAAGAGTGGTATTTGCCCTCCTCTGATGCCTGTAAGGGGTTGTTTTCAGGAATTCCAGGGTGGGACCAGTGACGAAGAGTTGTGTACATGGTGAAGATTAATTCCAAGTGGATAATGTAGGATAAAATGCCTCTTTTCCAACACTACCAGGAAGCCCCCTTTGAAAAGCAAGCATAGGCATGGGGAGGAAGATGCTTGCACTACAGGTGCATGGTGTTTAGTTCTCAGTAATTTTTCCTAGGAAAAGCTTGGTTTAAGTGATAGAATTTTATTTCTTTGGGGTAGAATTTAAATTTAAAACTGACTCTTTTGTTAGTGTGAATTCTCTAGTATCTAATGTCTGGAAATGATTTGAAGATCAACCACACTTCATACAACATAGAGACTAATTCCTATATTTTTTTCTGATGCATATACGTTTCGACTAGGTGTTTCTGCATTCTTTAAATTAATAGGGTGTCTCCTCAGGGTAACATACAGAACATACAGATTCTCCTTCTTCACACCTGTTGCATTCCCAGGGTTTGTTTCTCTGCATTGTTAATTATGAGGTTTTATATATTATTGAATGCTTTCCCAAATTCATTATTTCATAGGGCTTCTTCCCTGTGTGGGTTTTCTTTTGAATGATGAATTGTGTTTTCTTGCTAAAGGTTTCCATAGTAGTGCCTTTATAGGTTTTTTCTCCTACATGACCTTGTAGAGAGTTAATGAGCTCTGATCTCCAAATGAAGGCCTTCCTGCATGTACCGTTTTCTTGGTGTTTCTCCCAGTCTGAATTCTCTAGTGTGCTATAAGTCTTGGCTTCTAGTTGAACATTTTTCCACATTTGTTACATTTTTGTGGTTGTCCCCATTCTGAACTCTATAATTCAAAAGTTCAGATGACTTTAGTAAAAGCTCTTCTTCATTTGAAGGAATTCTCCCTATATGACCTATGATGTGAGATTTCTGACGTAGAGGCCTGACTTCCTGCTAAAAACTTCCACACACTCCCCACAGTCATTACCACCTGCCTCTGACATGAATTCCCTGATGCACCGTGTCTTCTTTATGCAACCTTCTCACATTAATTATCTGTCCATGATTCCACAGCGCGAGCCATTCTGTGTGCAGTGGACATCCTCTATTCCTAAAGGCATTATCATATTTAGTACACATATGTGGTTCCTTTCTGAATTCTCCATTGTTTTCAACGGCTTGACTTCCAGAAAAGGGCTTTCTCACATTCCATGTCTACATAAGTTCTCTCCCTTTGAACATTTCTTTGATGCTCAGTGGAGTTCACAGTTCCCTGAAGGTTTTCCCCTATTTACATTGTCTGGTGTCCAATCAATCAATTGGAACTCCTAAATAAAATTTTTTCAAATCTGTAGAATTTTTAAGCATTCTACCTGCATGGTTTCTTTTATGTTGAATAAAAGCTAAGCTATACTTATAGGCTCTCTCACATTCATTGTCTTTAATGATTCCTTCCTAGTATGAATTTATGTTCCAGTGGAAATAGGATCTGGATTGAAGACTTTTCCACACTATAATCACAGTATTTCTCTCCAATTATGAGTTCTTTAAGAGAAAATAAGATTCCACTTTATCACCCACTTGTAAGGCAATGTTTTTGTGACTTCTATCAGAGGGACTTTTTAATACCAATTATATTCTTATGCCTTTTCATTAGTGTGAATCTTTGATGTTTATTACATTTATTACATTCTGGGTTCTTTAGAAATTTCCCCAAAAATTTGTTACACTCATTGCCTCTCTCTTTATTCAATGATTCTTCTTAAATAAATATAAATTTCCCCAAAAGTTTGACTTGGGATTTCTGTTGCTTTTTTTAAATGTGGCTTTCAATTGTAAGACTCCTTCTAAAATGGAAAAAGTGCACAATTTAAGCAAATCTTTCCACCATCGTTTTATAGAATGAAACCTCATCAAGAATATTCTGTTATAGTGACATCTTTGTTTCCAAATATGAAAAATTTCCCATTGTAACTATTTCCCATCTCGGGCTTTGAGAGGCAAACTCTGCTTAAGTATAGACAGAGCAGAGTACTGACAGCGATGACAAATAGGGTGGGCGTTTCAGAGATGACCTTTCAACCTGTGTCATAAAGGGGAGGAACTAAAATGGGATAAAGCTCTGAAAGGGAAGAGAGTGAGTGGATGACTGGATAGATAAGGAAGACACGAGTGTAGAGAGACAGATTTGTCAAGGGACTGGATCTGGACATTTTAAGCTTCATTGCTTCATTTATGGACCACTATGGCAGAAAACTAACTGGTTATTTTTTTTTCCTGTATCTTTTCCCTCTCATCCTACACACCAATATCAAAATCATCATTGCAGGGTGCCAACTCCCCACATTTAGAGGAACATTGATATGGGCCCTGCCTTGGCCCAGCACCTGCATCTGGCTGTGATTTATTCTCATATTTACCTGAAAACTCAGAAACAAATAGCAGAAGGGTACATCTGTCTAGAGTATTATGGCCCCACATGCTGTTCCCTGGTATAATCTGGCAAATTAAGTATCATTAGGTTATTTTACCAGAGCTATTGAATATCAAACTGATTCACAATATCAATTTCTGAATTCTTTTTCCCATTCTGATTTGCAGACAGGAAAATGTTCCAGGATCCAGAGATTTTGTCTTGCCCCTGCCATGGTATTCTTGTGTCATTCAGTTGTCACATTATGAAATTGTACAATGCTGAGGTTAAGACTTCTTAAGTCAATTCCAGCTCTGCCACTTGCTATATGGGTGACCTTGGGCAAGATAATTAGCCTCTCTTACAGTTACTGACAGCCAGAGTCTCCTTAATAATCCCCACAGAGATGCCCAAATCATTTACCTCCAACTGATCCTCCCAGTCCTACCAATCACTGCCACGCAGACCCATTCATTCAGCTGAACTCTCAGCTGACCAATCCCAAGACATCATCTCAGATCCATGGGCTCCCTATTTACTGACTCTCCTCCCCATGGGCTCCTCATTCATTTTTCCAACAAGTATCATTGGAAGTTTCCTCTGTGGTGAATACCTGGGATCCATCATTCTACACAACAGACAAGAATTGTTTCCTTCATGGGACTTACATTCTAGTGGTGGATACAAACAATCTATACTAATAAAAGCCTATGTGGTCTTCACGCCCTCATGTGCAACGTCATCACAAGATGGTCGCCACAAGATGGCCATGGGCACAGTAGAGGCAGAGCCCAGCTGCTGCTCCATGTGGTGAGGCCTGGGAGATCGGTAGCTCTGCAGGGTGCAGAGGAGGCCAGTCCTGGCATTTCCACTGCCTCATGCAGAGGAGGCAGATCCCAGCAGAGGAGGCAGGTCACAGCAGGGAAGGGCAGTTGTGGGTGATCAGGTTGGCAGAGGAGGGCAGTTGGGGGTGACTGGGCCTGTAGGGGAGGGCTGTTGTGTACAACCAGGCCTGTAGGGAAGGGCAATTGGGTACAACCAGGCCTGCAGGGGAGGGCAGGTGAGGGCGACTGTTCTCCTGTAAATGAGAACTCCAGATCCTCACAATTTGATTGGTCCAAAAAAGCATTGTCCTGATTGGCCAAAACAGAGCAGCTCTAATTGGTTGGGGAAGATGCTAATGAGGATATAGCTGCACAGCTCCAATTGGATAGGTAAAGTCTCAATCCTATTGGGTGAAATGGGATTCTAGGAACTCCTTTACAAGAGTTGGCTCAGCCAACAGGAACACAATGCAGATAAATAGCTTAGTACCAGAGGCAAGTAGTATAGTGCAGGCTTCTCCCTTGAGTGTGGCTTGCATGAGAGGCCCCTTTTAGCAACAGCTGCCAGTCTGTTTATAAAGAGCCCAGTTAGCCAGTAGGAGCCCTTTTCAATAGGTACATTTATTTTCCGGGTCAACAAAACCTTTCTTAAACCTTCAAGAAAGGATGGAAAAACAGCCTCATATGAATTGTGAGGATTAAGTGACTCACTATACACAGGGTGCTTACAACAGTGGCTGGCACAAAGTATGCCCTCAAATGTTAACTGTTCTCCCAGCAATGAGGATGTAGCTGGAACACTATGGTTTCTGGGGTCAGGTAGGTTTGGATGGCCATGTGTAGAACTAGGTACAGATTGGTCATAACAATATAAAAACACTTGAAAGTACAAATCTGACATTTTAGTTATATCTGATTAGGTAAGCAGGCAGCACAGATGCTACTTGTACATCTTAGAACACTGTGTACTTTTCTCATTATTTTCAGAAAGACACACTGAAAAATACTT